TTAGATATGAGACTTCTTTTAGGTTCTAATATTCCCCTGACTACTTTTCTCTCTTTCTTGTTTTTTTCATCATCTTCTTCTTACTTGGGCTTGTACATTTTTTAGTTTCAGAGGCCTCGAGTCTATTAAATTTCTTCTCCTCCTCCTTCTCCTCCATTTCTATCTCTTTTTTAATCTCTCTCTATCTTTTTTCCATGTTTCGTCTTTCACTTTTTTTCTTTTTTTCTTTCTATCTTTTTTGTCTTTTTTTGGTCCTAGAACGAATGGTTTTGATACCATTTTAGATTTTTTATATTAAGTATGCTTAAGGATAGTATATTCCACCAAATGTGAAACTTTAAATGTGAAACTTCTTTTATGTTCTAATAGACTTCACTTCTGCTAGGAGACTCTAACCACTAATATAAGCCAAAAAGTAACATTTACAGTCTACAATACTACCCTCTCACAACTCAGGCCTATAGCAACTCTAATTGCTTGTTTCTTTCTCCTTGACGTTAGGAGTTTCAAGGTCAATGCCCTGCCATCAGAAAGTTGCTTTCCTTTTTCTTGAATCTTCCTAAGTTTCCTCTCATGAGCCTTTGCAGCAAAAGTGGGTCTATCTGAAACTAAGAGCAATTGAGTCTTATCAGTTTCTTAAAATAAACTCAAGTTAAAATACAAAATTTCTAAAGGCAAATGCGGTTAGAATAGTAAAATTAATGACAAGGTTCAATTCTAGGACCACGATCTTGTGCTTACAAAGCCAATATTGCCATTTTCTGAAAGTTTCTGTTACTTAGCCTTCTGTGTCATCCTGGATTTTTTCAGGCTCTGCCATCACCTTAGCACGGTCTAGATAATTGGCTAGGAGAAATTTATGACTTGTGTGACAATCGTTAGCATGTCATGGTATCAATATTCAATACAGATAATTGTTTACACTATAAGTTTTTGATGGCATTTTCTTGAACAGAATGTATCATCCTAGAATCCTAGGGTGAGAGTACTTTAATTTTGAATGATGCATCGATTTTGATTGTCCAGGATTTAAGGCATCAGATGAGTTCTATGCCCTCTCTAATAAACTTTTTATGGTATGCTGACTATATCTTTATTTAGGTAATGATTGTTTCCCATTCTGTTTTAGATATCCTAACCAGTCTGCATTCACATATGAACGGCGTCTTTTCATTCCTTTTGAGTATGCTCTCCAACCCCCTCCATGGTATAAACCAAAACAAATAGTTGTAAACAAACCGCAGGTACCTTTTGGGAATGCACTGAAGCAGTACTATGGACCTCAGTGTTTTATAATTCCTGGAAATCATGGTTAGTGTACACCTCGACTTGAGCCACTCCAAATTGCCTCGTTTTAAGGAACTAATGCAATGAATCATATTTTCCTCTTTTTTGTCTTCTTCTTCCTTTTTTTCTTAGCTGGAATTTCCCTTTTGTATCATTGAATTTCCCTTTGGTCAATATACTTTCACTTTTTCATAGATCCCTTTTTGTATTTAATGCCAATATGATGTGGTAATCTTCATGGATTTACACATTGATGGACTTCATACCTTTATGAGATGTATATATCATAAAAGTTGGTTAGGTGGGTGGTTCATGCCCCAGAAGAAGAGTTATTTTGCTTTGCAACTTCCTAAAAGATGGTGGATTTTAGGGCTTGATCTAGCACTCCATGGTGATATTGATGCATACGAATTCAAATTCTTTTCAGAGGTGATAACGGAGAAGGCATTCTCCATGTTCTCTTCATTATTTTGGCATGTTGATGGAATCCATCATGAACGTTTCATGGCAAATAGTTTCTGCTTACTGTTTATTATTATATAAAGTGTTGTTTGAAGTAGTGATAGTGTGTAAATTTTTCTAGAATGACAGAAAGGTTCAGAGATTTAAATTTGGAGTAATTTCTGTAACTTCAGTTTACTAAAAATAGTGGTTTTCTTGCAAACGTCAATGCATTAGAAGGACTGGTATTTCAAAGAAGGATACATATATGTATTACATGTTTATTGGGTACATAATCCAACATATGTATCATTGACCCTTTTTTTTTTTTTTTTTTTTGCTATACATAGGAAAACTTCCATGATACACTTCTGAATCCCATTTATAACAAATCGAATGGTGAGTTTCATACATCAAATCGAATAGTAAGCAGCACCATTCGCAACCTGTGAATCATGCAATATGCTATAAGTTCTAATAATACGTAGATGGTGAAATATATCAAAAGTGAAATGTGTGAAAAAGGTGTGCTACTAGCATTGCCTAGTTAACTTAAGAGCACATCCCCCCCCCCCCCAATTCTCTTATTCTTTTGAATAATAGAATAATGTATGACTCACCTGTGTATCCCATCCTCCAAGGAATTCACTTACTCTTATCATACATACATACATACATACATACATACATACATACATACATACATACATACATACATACATACATACATATATATATATATATATATTGTCTTGCAATATCTAGTTTGCTAATGAAGTTTATTTTGCTATTACTATCTCCATTATGTCCTCCTCAGTCACCCTCCCTACGTGTTCTTTTTTATTTCCTCCAGTTATGGTCATGTCTCTGAATCTCCGACCTGTGATACAGTCCACTTTTTGTTTTGCACCTCTATTTGACCAACTCTCTGGTTAAGCATACACCCTAATGCGATCATATTTAATTAAGGTTCAAGAGGGTGACTCTGTGATCATCATGACTCATGAACCCAGTTGGCTTCTTAATTGGTACTGGAATGTTGTTTCTGGGCAGAATGTTTCACACCTAATTTTGTGATTATTTAAGAGGAAGATGTAAACTTAGAATGGCTGGGGACTTGCAGCATTACATGCGTCATTCTTGTGTAAAATCAGACGGGCAAGTCCATCCTCAACACCTACTCATAAATGGCTGCGGTGGAGCCTTTCTGCATCCAACCCATGTTTTCCGCAAATTTAAAGAGCTTGATAGGGTTTCCTATGAATGCAAAGCTGCATATCCTTCCTTTGATGATTCAAGCAGGGTAAGTAGAACGTTAATACTGAATAGTTGCTCACGACTTTCCTGCTCTATTATAGCACACGATTATATAAAATATTTTGTTTGGTGTAGATTGCTTTAGGAAATATACTAAAATTTCGTACGAAGAACTGGCAATTTGATGTTATTGGTGGAATTATATATTTTGTGCTGGTCTTTTCAATGTTCCCCCAAGTGAGTTTTTCCATTTCTTTCTTTGTTATTTTGAGATACATTGCATTTGCTGCCAATAGAAATCATGGCTTTTAAGCCATGTCTGTCTCGTTCTTTTGTTTTCTGTCTTGCAAGAGGCAGCATATTTGCAGATCTGACAAGGTGAATAGGTGATATTACATGTCATTAAGTTGTGACTGTTTTCTTTGACTTGATTTATAGTGTGACCTCAATCACATCCTGCAAGATGATTCATTTTCTAGTCAATTGAGGAGTTTTCTTTAGTACTGTGGGGAATGGATTTTTATGTATCTTGGAGAACTCTTGTGTATCACTAGGGGGAGCTATAATTTTGCTAGTTGCAGCATATTCTTTTGTTCCACCCAAAGTGTCGTGGAAGAAACGAGCAATTATTGGAGTTCTTCATGTCACTGCTCACCTAACTGCCGCACTTACTCTTATGTTACTCATGGAACTTTGTGTCGAAACCTGTATCAGACATAAATTACTGGCAACTTCCGGTAAGGTTACTGTTCTAGATGGGTGCAATTTGCTTACCTGCATTCCTTCTCATTTCTAAATATATTGATATAATATGTGTATTTGATTTATTTATGTTTCATCTGCATTTCGTGAGACTATAGATAGTGAATGCTTATATAATACGTTAATATCCTTTTCCATTGGGTCATGCTATCAACAACTTGATGTCGATTATATACGTGCATGGGCAATGAATTGCCAGACTATGATATGGTTTTTTTTTGGCTTGGGATACTGTTCTGACTCCAAGCTCATGAATTTACAACAGTAAACATGGAAAACAATTCTGGATGCTTCATGTATTATGATAGTTACTGTGTAGTTTTATTGGGGTACATGATACTTAGTAGTAAGTAGCTTCCGTTTTATCCAGGCCATCACACCTTGTATCAGTGGTATCGATCAATGGAAAATGAGCACTTTCCAGATCCAACTGGCCTTCGATCTTGTATAGAACAATGGACATTGGGACTCTATCCAGCATGTATCAAGTATTTAATGTCTGCATTTGATTTCCCGAAGTAAGGAAATTCTCTGGGTTCCCTAGATTGTTATCACTGTTATGAGCTCGATCACTATATAAACACTCATGGTGAATTTTCTCAGGTCATGGCTATCACGCGAAACCATATCTGCAAGAAGGAATGGAGTCACTTTCCCGAGGAGGCACTGTGATATATTATGCTTCTGTCTTCCTGTACTTTTGGGTCTTATCAACCCCAGCTGTTTCGTTTGTGTTTGGAAGCTATTTGTACATTTGCATCAATTGGTTTCACATCCACTTCGATGAAGCTTTCTCATCCCTACGAATTGCTAATTACAAGGCATTCACAAGATTTCATATTAATTCCGATGGCGACCTTGAAGTTTTCACTCTTGCGGTTGATAAGGTAAAAAAATCATAATTCTTCCTGAACTGCTGTTTTATATAAGGTGCGACTTTGACTGGTACCTTCTAGGTCAATACCATCTAGAAGAAACGAAACAGAGAGACGTTGAACTCGTATTTTCAATTCTTTTAATAATTTTACAGGATTAAGATTAGCATGCACCATGTTTACTAAGACGCTTCTATGCTGCTAGCTCCCAATATACTCTTTTAACCCCTCTTGGCGAAGAAGGCCAATTGATGGATGACAGAATTGCATTCCCATGTGGCTGAGTTAGGTTGTGTAAATCTCCGGAGTCCCAAACATAAAGCCTTGCTACGTAAACTCACTGACTGTCGTAAACTTGAGAAATGAGTTGGTCATGACTTAGTAGCAACACAAGTTGAGTGTTATTGCTCGAAACTTAGGTGAATGATGCACAAGAGTCGCTAGGTGTATAAGATGGACATTTCTAATGAGCCACAGTTTGCTTAACTGGTGTCACTCTCGTGCGAATGATACCTAATTTAAGCTTCTAAAACACGATGATAATGACCAGCTCTAAATTCTGTTACCTTACTACTTTTTTTTTTTTTTTTTGAGTTTGTGGTGGGAATTTGATATGCTTTCTTCGGTTTATGAAACTGGCATGCCATTTTACAAGTGCAGGTTCCAAAGGAGTGGAAACTAGACCCTGATTGGGATGGAGAGCCAATAGATGCAGAGCAGTTGAGCTATCTGAGAAGGTATCCCAGCAAATGGAGGGCAGCCACAGCTCAGCAGGACCCTGTACAGACTGTTAAAATCATTGACCATTTCGTTATTGGGCGAACGGATAAGAATGATAAGGCAACACGAAGAGAGTCACCAGCTAATGGGCCTCTCCAGTTATCTCGTTCTCTTCAGCCTGGGATGGACTCAAGCCCTTAAATGTAGTGCACTGTATATAATTGGTTCTTTTCAATTGTCATCAGTGAGCTGAGCTCCGGTCGCAGCATTAGCATTCACGCAAAAATAAAAATAGTACGGCAGCAGGTTAAACAAGTCACTGGTGATTAAAAATTCGTAAGAATTTAATTAGTGCAAAGAATCAAAAACGATTTATTATCAAAGTGTTTTTGCAGAGAATAATAGTAAATTAGTAATTTATCAAAGTGCATTAATCAATCCCACCACCTGCAACATTTACTTAAAAAAAAAAGGATGAAGTTATTGTATCCTTATATAAACTAATTGAAAAAACAAATCTTTCAAGTGTTAAGGTTAAGCTCTTCGTATAATTACTTTATATAAAAATATTTCAGATAATAGAATATCTTAACATGTGAAATAACTTTTCAAACTATTGGCTGTACAGAATATTGTTAATTCTCAAATGTATCAATGATAAACTGCCTTGGATCCATTAATTTTTCAGGATCGATCCTTTACAAAAAAAGGGGGGGGTTGCAAAGAAACAAGGCATTACAGAGAAAGCTAATATAGAATGAAAGTTGAGCGCGCGAGAAAGAGAGTAGTCAACCGTTCAATTTCTTTTCTAGAAAAGGAAGTGCTCGCAGCTGAATATATTCCATTCATATTGGCTATCGGCGGCTGTTAGATATTTGGGAGCTGATATGCAGTATCACCATTTATAAGCAAAATATTTCCTTTTCATTTTAAAGAATTAAAAATAATTGTACAATCTCGAAATTTAAAATACATTTTCTTAGACTACATCGATCGTCATTTTAAGGGGGCAAGAAAAGTGTAACATTTGCCCCTCTTGATTCATCTTGGCTACATTAGTTAAAAGTTTCAGTTACGATAAATAAAAGCAGAAAAAAGGGAGTTTTAGAATCTTACAATCAAGTCACTGCTGTTAATTGAAGTATCAGAAAACTGCTCATAAGATGATCAGACGAACAATCTGCCCCAGAAACCGGAATGACTTCGTTGCTTCTTTTAAGCATCTGTTTTTTTCATCTCGAGTCCAATGCTGCATTAACCAGAATCAGGATAAAGAATAAGAAAGACAAAGCATTTAGATAAAATTTGGTGGACTCTTGCAACAACAAAAGCATCTCTTATCTATATATCTACAGAAGTTTACGTTGATTGTCGTTGGTGGACTCTTGTACATTGCATAAAATTTGAAAAATAAGTGGCATTATTTACAAATCATAAAAAATGTGACTAGTTATAGAATGCATATTTAACATTGATTATTAACATTGATGACTGATGCCAAAGCCAAATGAGAAGTAATCTTAAACGTTAACCTCGCTAAGCATATTTAGCTTCTCCCGGACCCCTTTCAGGAATTCTGATGCATCTCCTTCCCATCTATAGAACTCCAGCTCCTTCCCCTCCAGGAGCTTTTCAGAAACCTAAAAGCAGCACAATGACAGAGAAAATATGATAACAGAAATCCTTGATGAACATATGGTGTTTCCATGATTAAAACCTCCCATAAAAGAAAAAGATACAGTCTTGATTGACTTCAGGGTTTTTGGACCAAGTAATTACATTGGAATAATCAAATAAACATTGATTTGTAACCGATAGCATCAGATGTATATCTGTGGAAACAGGCATCTAGGAACTGCTTCTGTTGCGACCTGTCTCGGTTAAATAAGTAAAAAGTTCAATTATTTTTTGCATTACATATGTAAGCTGCGAGAAGGTCTTAGAGTCAGTAAAAGACCACCTCCAAAATCTCATGGATTCACAACAATGACATAAATTTGCAAGCTAAACTTGACAAATGATCGCATAGACAAAAATCCAGGAAGAGTTTTATCCATACCTTTCTTGCTATCACCTGACCACCAGCAAGATGTGAAAAATATATATTATACAAATGACAGAGGAATAATGGAGCATTATTCTCAGCAAGTTCCTCCAGATATTTAGCATAAGAAAGCCCTGGAGAGCTGGCATCTGGAATCATAAATCCTTGTCGGCCAAACCATTCCAGATCTTTTGACAGGCTTTCCGATCGCTCCAACCCATTCTTCCTGAAGTAGGCATCTGACATACATAAAAAAACCGGATTTCCCTGAGGTTTAGTAGTAGGTCTAAACAAAATGATAGACGAGATAATTGCTCCAGGTAATCATATTTCCAACGTATCATTATCGAGTACCCTAGAGCAGTAATTTATAGGTTCACAGTCTAAAATTTACCTTCACTTTTGTATTTTCTCACTATACTAATATAATGCACCACACATTTATCATCGAATCCTTGTGTCAAGCATGTTAGAAGTTATGTTAATATAAGATTTCAGCTCATTTAAAATCACAATGTCTGTAATATACTATGATAAATTGGTTACTGATGAACGCTCTAACAGGTTGATTGGATCAGTAGGGACTAGAGCAGCAAAGTTGTTGCATAGGAAAATTCGAGCAAGTAAAGGATCAAAGTTGGGCGTCAGGAACAAGTAACTCACAAGAAACGTCTGTGGATTCATCCACGATACGTTCGACGGTGGTAAAAATGAGCTTGCTATCAACCAGATACTTGAGCAATCCCTCCATACTAGGCTGCCACGTTTCATCTTCACTGCCATTATCTTCGCCATTGGATGTTTCTAAGCTGTTGCTATTGTCAGCAACGTCGGAACTATTATCGTCGTCAGAGTATTTCTTGCCATTGATGTTACGGAGTCTCATAGCGACGAACCTCATCTCTTCAGTGATTCCTGTGCTCTCCCCAGGGTAAAGCTTTCTGTACCTCTTTCGCTTCTTCAGAACCGGAGGAGCATTATTTACCGTCATCGGTGGAGAGGACGAAGTAACCGCCGTGGAATTGGTAGAATCAGAGCAGATAATTGAGCTCTGAAAGTTCCTCACCTTCATAGTTGAAATTGTGGACACCTTCAATTGCACATAGTTAGGTGATGAAAACGGCACTCGCAGAAGAGGCTCGTACGATAGCTTCGCCGCCACCCACATCACTGCAGATATTGCCGACTGTGTGTCCTGCGGTGGTGCTGTCCGGCTCGATTGGGTTAGCACCTTAGCATTTCAAATGGAAAATAAATATCGTTTTCCAGTAGTAATACCCTAGCCTCTATTAGTAATGAACTTAACCAAGTTATTTACAATTTGTAAATATATTTAAAACATAGCTAAATTTTTTTCAGCCGCTAAAAAAATACTATAATTAACAGCAATCGAAATAATCTCCACGTGATCAGGGGCAAAAACATTTTCATAGCATGAGATCATGGGACCCATACTAGCCAGCACCATCAGTCCAAATCTGCCTTAATCCGGTGAGTCAACCCAATCTCCAATTTAACTAGATGACATTGGGCGAGTCAAGCAGACCAACTCATCTTTTTACTGGCTTAAATTTAAAATAAAAGGCATAATTGATAATTCATTAATAATATAACATACTCCCTCCATTTTAAATTACAAGATACTTTTAGATGAAATCTAACATATCAATAAATATTATTAAATACAATTAACAACTTTATCTTTTCAAAACAAAAATATAAACTTTTAAAAATACTCATAATTTAATATATTAAAAAGAGAAGAAACAAAAATTAATTGTAAAGAGAGAAAGAGTAATTATTGAAATTGAAACATTAAATGAAACATTAAGTGTATTATATTTTGAGATAAAATTTTTTTTAAATATATTTTATAATTTAAAATGAAGGGAGTAATTTACCATAAATTTTATATTCTATACTACAGACTATTCCGCCACGACTACATATATTAAGTTAAAAAAATTAAACAAGTTAGATTTTACCCTCAGCAGCCAGCACTAAATGAAAAGAAGGTAAAATTAAATAAATATTTTATGAGAGAAACATGACGTTACCGTGATTATTATCTATATTTAATACATGTATGTATTAATTTTATTAATAATACTCCGGTCTTGCCGTCTTCAACAGGAAGAGATCATTGTAATTAAGTAAGTGAAAATAAATTCTCGTAAAGTAAAATGGACCAAGGCATATTAGCTTTTGCATGGAAAGGATGACACAGTGTTCCACCTTTGAGTTTTGAGAGAAAACGAAAAAGGCCTGAAAGATATGATCAGAATCTTGAGGAAGATGTCCTCAAGGCTATTCCAAAGCTTGATAGGATCAGAGTTTGTACGGAGGAGAGACACATCAAGAATAGAATGAAAGGCAACAAGGCTAAGCTGCTCAGGGGGGCTGCAAAGGAGTTAGAGCAGGGCATCAGTTTGGCCAAAGCTCTATTAGTGCTTCAACAATATCCATCTCTCACTTTACCAAAGATCAAAGTTCAAGTTTCCGAACAGCAAGCGGAGGAAAATCGTCCCACGGAAGAGTGATTCTAGCAATATTGATTTATTTTTAGGTTTTATGGCATTCACTCAATTTTGTCTAGTACGTCTTTTTTTTTTTTGGGCCACTTGTCATGTACGTCTTTAAGGCTTGAACCATGAATCAAATGTATCATTTTTGTTGATCATCTATGCAGATGATATGATCTGGTACAAATGTTCTCCTGGGCATCAATATTATTTGAAAAAAAAAAATTCCGGGATTCCGAAAACTAACCGAATAAGAAGAAAAATTAAGGAGTGTAATATAGAGGAAAGTAAAATACAGAGTCCCAGGAGCTAGCAGCAAGCTTGCCTAAAGGTAAAATACACAGGAGAGTAATAGAAAATAAACAAGTTCGCAAGCCCAAATCTAATAGAAGACTTGCAGGAAAGCTGCTCCGCTCACGATCCCAAAATTGAAGCGTCAGGCGCCTGTTTGACGTCTAGAAGCTTCCCAAACATGCACGTATAAGCTATCAAGTCTTTAATCCTCGAGCTTGTACAAGTATTTACAGGAACTCTATCTAAAACGTCTCAGGTATAGTTAACTTTTAATTTCCGCAAGAATTCTAATGTCTCCTTGTAAGAAGGGTCAATGCGGCTCACAGGTTTGCAGGAATTTACATGATCCTTTGACTCCAGAACCTGCTTCAAAATTCCAAGATAAACAAAAGTAAAAAACTCTTAACAGCTCAGATGTTTCCCTGATCCAATCTCGATACAGAAAGAGATGCAAGGAACTCAGTTTGGCTTGGGGAAAATGCATTCTACTTCAGTTCATTTGTAATTATTCGGTTTTAAAAAATAATGACCAATGACTACTTGTCAACCTTATGGCTGTTCTTTCTTAAATATGATGAGTTAACCGAAGTGCAATACTTGCTTATCATGCTAATTTTAATGCTTTCATATGTGGCCCACAATTGTTTCATCCCCAGATGTCATTCATATATCTCAAAAATCGGGGCTTAATCATCTTGTGGCCATAGCATGTCCTACTGAAATAACATGTAATTAGACAAAGGAAGTGCTGTGGTAGTCAACACCTGAAGCTCTAAAAAACTTTACATATCTGACAGGACTTGCCGGTGAATGTTGTTCGGCACTCTTTTAGTACATGGACGTTACATGCGGACATCCATCCAGATAATAATAGTTTTAGAAAGACCTTCTTTAGTAACCGCACAGGCAGTCAAAGCCAAGCCCAAAAAGGAACTTCACACGTGGCTTTTTTTTTTTTTTGGTGGAGGGGGGGGGGACTGATAATATTCAAGCATCACTAGAATGTCGAAAGCCCCTCGGGAGACATTTCCAGCAATTTTTCAAGCAGGTTAAGAATGAGTTTTAGGATTACCTATAAGTAACATAGATATGTTCCAGGCATGACACTACAGTGAAAATGTCATCAACGCTGGCTCTCTACTTCTCTTAAAACTTAAAAGATAGAAACTAAGAGAATCTTATGCAATTACTCTTTTTCCCCCTTCTAGTCAATTGAGTTATGATTTCACAATATACTCACCACCAGCTCACCAAAACCAGGATATGCTGATTCAATAGGGACAATTTCCACTCGAAAGGCCCATCCACCATAACCTTCAACTATTGGAGTTACTTTGGTCTGTAAAAGAGTCATCAGCGATTCATATCAACAAATACACCCAGGCAGAACAACTAAATAAAGAAAACCAAATCACTGACTACCTCACAAAAGCTGAGCACGTCAAGCTTCCCTTTCTTGTGAAGGTGACGAATATAATCGTTGAGCTCTACTAATCTTGAAGACCCGCGTCTTAGCTCACCTACCTATGAAACATTAAGAATTAAGAGCTGAAAAAATATTTTAAATACAGCAATTATCAGAATGAGAAATAAACTTTAAAATCAACATCTGCTGTTAAACATGTGCCAGCAACTTTATACTAACTGATAGAGCAGGACGAAGCACAATCCCCATTCGCCAAGGTACATCTGCGAGTTTGCTACCAAAATGTGGGCAGCTATAGAACACCTAAAACCCAAAACGTCAAAAATAAAGAAACTGCAAGGAGATTTTAAAACAAGTTATTGTGAACACAAGCAGAAATCATTCATGCAATTGAGGAGACTGGAGACAGGACTTACAATTCCAATGGTATTATTCACAAGGTGATCAAAATTTCCCTCCATTGCCTTATACAGAATTTGCTTCACAACCAGGCCCCCCATACTGCAAACAACAGAAAACTGTATATATTAAATCATGAAACGTACAGACAAAATATATGAAATTGGAACGCTATTTGATCCAACATTAGGATCTCAACACCTTTAGCAAATGCATTTAGAACAAAAACCTTATAGCAATCGGCTTGTTGAATAAAAGGACTTCAAGCAAATAGCAAATCATCCAAGGGCCAAAAGTTTTATTATGCAAACAATACTTAGCTGAACCGCTCCCTCTATGGAAAGTAAATAAATTACATGGATTAATAAATGGGCTATAGCATCACATTGAACCATTGCATCACATTAGGTTTTAAAATTCATAATCTGAATATATATATATATATATATAAAAGTATTTTATTACTAATCATTATTAATATAAAATACAGTATAAACTAAATAATGGATAAATCTATGAACCATGAATGAGGTGACAATTTTTTAAAAACATAAAAAGACAGAAATTGCAACATATAATGAATATATTAAGTCTCCAATTTTTAATTATTAATTCTTGAAACTATGACAATTAAATATTCTATCAATAAGCTAAAATTCTAATAGCAGTTTGGAAAGTAGTTATTTTAACTTGTTCTTTCTTTCTCTACTTATCTTTTGTAGACAACTTCAAAATTTTCAACTCCTCATCTACCAAGTAATTTTTGATTTAGTTCTTGTCATTTTCATGCACTATCTTTTACAGTTCTACTTGTTCATCATGGTAAAGAGAAAGGTCAGTTTGATCGTCAATGGTTATCCTGTGAAGCATGAATCGCTTTAACAGTCAAAAGATACATCCAAAAAATAACGCCAATGAGTATACAGAAAGCTAGAAAAGAATGGATGCACACCTGTGAGTGACAAAAATAACAGGTCGCTTCCCAATCCCTGCAGCAACAAGCTTCTCCAATAACATAGAACTAACTTCCTGAAAATTTACAGAGGGCAACAAACCAAAATGTAAATTGAGAGAGAAACAGCAACATAGATGTGAACACAGCTGATGCAAGAGAGGTAGAATTAGCCAGCCAACCATAGCCAAGCAGCAGGGAAGGAGAGGATGGGGATGGGAAATTGTTCACTGCTATTTGCCCCTCATTTGCAGACAGAAACATAGAGACTGGCAAACCAAAAATGAAGGAACAGAAGGAAGGAGATGGAAACTAGCTCAGAACTTATAACCCCGCCAGGTTCAAAGTTCAAATTTACTAAAGTCAGATTACAGCATGAAAAAACCATATCCTTGAACCATAAGGATCATTAAGTAACCAGATTACTAGGGTGATGGCCAAACACTGAAGACCACACTGTCCTTTGAAGCAAAGCATTTGCCATGGCTCTGACTCTGAGCTTCCAAAGAAGCAAAGGTTCAATCATCAAGACCAATCAATGCCTACTAAATTGGTGGCAAATAGCCCTCAAGGAGCCGTGTATCAGGATTTCCTAGAATCTTCACTAAAGAAATAAGATCATGAAATTATTGTACAATTAAAACGTATATAAATTGCCATACACAAAATC